TATTTAAAAAGTTCCCAGTTGATATACAATATTACATTTCTGTTCTGTTGCGAGGTGTTCAACACCAGATTGGTTATGAATAGTATCAGTGGTTGTAGCTGGCACAAATGTTCAACGTGGTCCACCAGAAGACTACCTGGTGCATTTCTGGGTGTGAATTTAAAATACTGATTTTGACCTTGCAAACCTTCTATGGTCTTGACACCACAGAAAGCTTGCAAGGTCAAAATCAGTATTTTAAATTCACACCCAGAAATGCACCAGGTAGTCTTCTGGTGGACCACGTTGAACATTTGTGCCAGCTACAACCACTGATACTATTCATAACCAATCTGGTGTTGAACACCTCGCAACAGAACAGAAATGTAATATTGTATATCAACTGGGAACTTTTTAAATAATTCATCCACTAAAAAGTGATAATGGGTTAACTGCTTAATCCTTTAACAGTTTGCTTGACTTGTAAAATGGAAATTCAAAGATGTCTCATTGAGTTGCTGATTCTTTCTCTTTTAAATATAGGTTTATGCTGTCAGTGTGTGTAAATTCATAATGGTGTTTTCTCAGTGAAGGCTGTGACAAACTGAAAAATATCTTTTCAGCTAATTTTTATTGACAAATCCTTGTTTGCTTGTTTCCTCTCCAACCATTGGTGATAAAAAAGATCATATGCTTGTGAAATGGTTAAATATTTGAAGTAATCAAATCTAAGGACAGTTGCCTACTTGTTTGTTTGTCTGCCTTTTGTTTTCTCATATTCAACATATTGAATGGGTGTTTTTGAGCTCTTCCTTCACTTACTCTTAATTGTATGTCTTTGGCATCTACTTTTATGTGGATTCCTTTTTCCACTTAATAGCAGCAATGATTCTTAAACACTCTGTGCATAGCAATTTACTGTGTGTTTCTTTGCAGGGTTTCTTCTTGACAGTGTCACCAGAATCCATAATGAAAGTCGCAACTCAAGCTTCTGCAAACAACAAGATCTTCAGTTTAAATCTTTCTGCACCATTTATTAGCCAGTTCTACAAGGACCAACTGATGGAAGTCATGCCTTATGTTGACATCCTGTTTGGGAATGAAACAGTAAGAGCTTCTATTCTGGATGGATGGATGGATGGATGGATGGATGGATGGATGGATGGATGGATATTAGAATTTAAAAGGGACAGTAAGCCAGTCTTGTAAACAGATGTATAGCTGGTATCAGTAATAACTGTCTTACTGAACTCATTAGTGAACCAGATTTCTTGTTTTAATACTGTGCTGGCATATAAGGTAGTAAAGGTGGCATATCTGGGCTGCAAATTCTGGGCAACCATTAGGTATCAGCAAAGAGATGAAGAAAACACATTTTTGCTGCCAGCTACTGGTCATCAGTCCATATATGGTAGCTGTAAATATAAAGCCCCTTAAGACCCTGCATTGGCAATATTTAGCCTTACTGCTGCCCTGCGTTGTCTCCATAAAATCATGGCGCTTCTGTAGCCATTCTGCTCTTCCTGAACCAGTTTTCTTCAGGCTCATCTATAGAGCAGGGGGAAGAACTTCAAGAACAGTTCTGCAGGAGGATTCCTCTTGCCAGAAGCTTTCACCTCAACCCATCTCTTCCCTCCATGCTGAAGGCAAGGCATCATAAGACCTTGCCTTCATTAAACTGGGCTTAACTAAGCTTCTCAAGCACAGGTCAAGGCACCCTGGCACCTTGCTACCCATTTCACTGGCATTAAATTAAGTAGAAGAGATATATTATTTTTCTCACCACATAAATAAACCCAACAAGGCAAGGCCAGACAGTGGGTACACTGGCTAGATATTGATTATGCCCTTTTCCCATGCATGAACTCAGCCTGAAAGTGTTCATAATAAATATTTTTAAGGGTTATGACCTTTTTGTAGACAACTCTTATATTTAGCTTGATTGTTCAGTGGTCCTGACATTCATCCCTTTTTTCATTTTCTTTCTCTCTTGTACAAAATTAAATAATAACCCAGAAGTTGCTGCACAGAGGCTTCTGATGCATGCTAGATAGATCCCTAGAAAGTACAGAGCTGGAATTGGTTCCTGTTGGGCTGCTTCTTCTGCAACTCTGATTGCTCATCACAGCCTCAGCATTCTGCATATATTGACAATGCAGGAAATGAAAGTGATTACCTCTTTACAGATTTCCATGTAGTTCATATAGCAAAGTTCTACTGTCAATCATGAGGGTTTTATGATTCATTTGAGGGAAGTCACTGTTGCAAGTGGGCTGAATCTATCTCCATAAGCACTTCAGTTTCAGGGGTGTCTGCAGGGCATGATCCAAAAAGTCAAGATGGCAGCCACAGTGTGACTAAAGCTCCACCATCTTTACATTGCCTTACATCTTGATCTTTTGGACCATACCCCATGGACACCCCTGAACTGTTTCTTAGACTCTCATTGTTAACCTAGAAACAAAGGTGATTTCTGGCTGGCTCCTTCATTTGGGGGACAAAGAGCACATTCCAGAAACCTTGGCATAACCAGAACATACATTAAAAATGATTTAAAGTAAATTAAATTAGTGGAGATAATTTGTTTAATAATCTCTTCTTTCCTCACATAAAACGTTACACCTTGATGGTAACCTACTGAGAAATTTTGGAAGCGGGAGCCAAGGTTTTGGTTGGCTGTTGTGTATCCTACTTTAAAGAATGAGGGTTTAAGCTCCGTTCAACATGTCTCACTTCCTTCTCAAGGTGTTGGCTAGGGTTTTTGTATTAGTGCAGAGAAATAAAATTCTCTAAAGCAAATTCAAACTTTATTAACATCTACAAACCAGAAGCAACAAGTAAGCTAGTTTTACAGTACTGTATTTTCATTTGGAATAGCCAAAGGTATCCAAACAATAAAAATGGCTTTAAGAATAGAAATATGAAGTTGCATCACTGTTTCTGAAAATGACATTAGCAACCCATGGACATTATTAAATATTTTGGATTGGTATGTTGATAATTTATTGCAACTGGATTTGTATATTTGCAAATTAGTGTTTCTCCTTACCTCATCGGTATTTATTAACTAGACTTCACACTATAACTTTAACATGAGAAACTTTTAATAGAAGCAATTATTGCTGTTAACCAGTTCTTGTCATTCTATAGTCATTATGTAGCAATACATGATTGGAGAACTTTATTATTGTCATTTCTTTTAATTATCACTGAATTTAGTTTTCTAATAGCATCATTGTGGAAATGATTCTTAGCTGTAATACCTTTCAAGCCTATTGTAATCACTGGATAATTAACCTGCCAGGATTTAAGCACACTCAGCTTTGCCTCAGGACATTTAACACTCAAATAAGGTCAATTATCTCCTGATTATAAGTGCTTGGTCACAAGTTCCTGCTTAATTCATCTCAGAAGTGCTCACCTTAAATAAGTAAATGTTTGTTGCCTAATACAAGTTTCACTACTTATCACAGCTCTTTATATTGTCTGAGAATACAGGTTCTAAGTGCCACCCAAATGCCGGATGAGTTGAATGCTACTAACTGGGTACAGAGGGAAAAAAAAAGGATAAGCTTCAGAAGATGACCCATTTTGCATAGTTGTCTACCCTTCAGGAAACAAAACATCATAAAGCGTGTAATAACAGAATCTTGGAAGCCTGACAGCATTTCCCCTTCCTTCCTTCAAAGAGAGTCAAGGCAGACTGATCTTGAGTTTCTTCCTCACCCTTCCTGTCATCCGGGGCTTATTTAAACCCTAATTCTAGGTGATTCACCCATTTTCTTTTTCTCCAAGGCCATACCAGTACTCCAAAAAATAAAAATAAATAAAGATATTATTTTAGTTATTTTTTTAAAAATCTGTACATCCATGTGGTGAACCTTCTCCTTTTTTGAGCCTATTCATCATTTCTAGCAATACAAATTCAATTATGAAAGAATTATGGGCATTGGCATTATTTGTATTGCTTCAGTAAAAAATGGATGTGCAGAACTTCAAGATCCAGAAAGGAATTTGGCAAGGAAAATTTCATAAGCTTTTCTAATCATAACACGGAGAGAAAAATTATAGGAACTGTCTTTTGGGCAACATGTTCACATCCAGGATTGCATTCAGCATTTCAAATCATGCCATGAGCTAGATGCAATCGAAAATAGGTAAGACCTTTGTAAAAAATAGAAGAAAGCAAACATCTTCATTATGAGTGGAACAAGGCAAAAAAGGAAAAAAGAAAAGGGAAAACACCAATACAGAAAGCATGGTAGAAGCCTCCAGCTAAGGCTTGGAGTCTGAATCCCTGGTCCCTAACCTAATTGCTGAAGGAAGAACAGGGAAGGCTAAGCCTTATTGAACTAAGGCACTACCATCTTTTCATATTTTTAAATGTAGTTCTTTTCCTGGTATCACCCACTTTTTAGGATGTGGATTCTCTAATACCACTGAAAGGCCATGTAATTCCAAAAGATTACACAAAGTAATAATTTAAGAAGTTTGGGTTTTTAGTATTCTGTTCTCAGGCTGATCAGCAGAGATTTCAGTATTCAAAAAGTTAGATATCCCCAAATGTGCACCATAAGAAATTAGTGAAGGAATTTTAATTCTCTAAAAAATGTCAGAACACAAGGTAAACGGTATGAGAACAGAACAACACCTAGATTATATTCTTCCTCTGTTCCAATCTCCAGTCTTGGTTCAAAACTTTCTGCTGAAGGGGAATTTTAAGTTTTCAGGGACCACATCATCCCAGAAACATCTTCCACCCTGATCAGTTGCCTTTTCTAGCACCAGCATATTGTTGAGATGTGCGGTAGGAAGGACTCAGAGATAACCTGGACACTTCACTGCTGAGCAGATCTTCCACCTTCAGTCTCCTCCTTTCCCCTTGTCTTCAGCTAGCTGCTAAAGCTAAGCTTTAATAAGATAAAATGCTTTTAAAATATAGCTCAGGCTTGCAGCCCCCATTGATAAAATCCCTGTTATTGGAAACTGTCTAAATTACTGGAATTAATCATGCTGTTTATAAAATAGCACATTTTATATGATTCATCTGATTCAGTTAATGTTTCTATTTATCAGTGTTACCTTGACAGCTGCACTATAAATTCTTCTGTAAAAGGTATTTAAATTGTTTGCCTAGGAAGTTGTGAGTGAAAGAAAACCTATAGACAAGGTTTTTGCTGCCGCTTTCAAGTTATGCTTTACAAGATGGGTGGCCATAGAAGTAATCTATCCATCCAGAATGTAGAATGCTCTTCTGCCTGAATTACAGGTAGATCAGAGTCCCTTGTTTTTTACAGACCATATTACAGTATATTTTTTAACATGGCATTTACAGTTATTTTAATATCTTACTATTTTTTTAGGGCTTAAAATAGTTTTATTGTTAGTTTTTATGTTTTTTTTATCTTGGCTGTTTTGGTCTTAGCCAGCTGCAAGGTCAGGTCAAAGAGACCTAGGGCAAATTAGAGGTTTTTTATTATTATTATTTATTATTTATTTGACTTGTCCCCACCCATCTCCCCACAACGGGGGACTCTGGGCGGCTTACAACAAACTAAAATCGACAATACATAATTAAAAGATTATAA